ATTAATTATTACGTTCTGTTTCATGTTGTAACTCAAGATGTTCCGTTACGTAAGGGACAAAGGTGATGGATTAGCCTCGAGGCCTGGTCTCGACCACCATATGGTCTAATATATGGACATCTGGACTAGAACGTTAGTTAACATTTGGAAATGTTAAATTAGATGCGAACTAGTTTATTAAGAATTAGATATTGCTCGCGGCTTCGCTCATCTTAGTGTTATTCTTCGGTAAAAAAATTCTGAGAGGAAAAAGTCGTTTAAAATATTACTCGGAACAAACAGACAGATAGACTAAAAATATTTAATCTAGTTTTGAGGTATAGGTATCGTGCAAATAACCGTGTGAACTTGGAAAAAACCGTATTATTTTGACATTACAAACAGACACTTCAAATTTGTTTATTTGTATAAATAAATTAAGATTAGTGTACGATGTTTAATACTCGTAATAATTAATTGAATTTATTAATCTTAGGATGCATAATGAGGACTTTTTTTTAAACAGATAAGGCGCGTAACAGCTCTACAAAGAAAAGGGAATCTTGACAGAAACCCTATAGCAACCCGTCTGGCCAGCTTGGTATAGTAGGCCAAAACCTCCTTTCTAAAGAGAGGCCCATGTCCAGAAGCGAACTATTAAAGGCCGTCGATGAAGGCGTGAAACAAGTACTCACTTTACCTCATGGCATGGTATTATAATCGTCACCTGTCGGGAGAGTCTGCTGTCACTTTCCTCTTCTAAGGAGTGGTTGATTGTAGATTCCATTAGTTAACCTTATTTCAGGTGTCGCTTTAAGTGCCCACTAGTACCACACACGGTGTTATTCATCTTGCTTGAATTTACATAATGCGGTATTAGAAAGTAGGTATATAAAGTTTAAATACACGTGAAACCAGTTTACTGATACTAGCTCCGCTTATATAGGCACTTTTAAGAATAAAACTCTGAGCTATATTTTGGAAATTTATTTTCAAAACTTTATGGATTTATCTGCATATTGGAGTTTCGTGGAATTTGTAAAAGGTAGGATTATCCTGTATCCACGGTGCGAAATTTATTTATTCAAACTTCCTGCACAATTTCTTGCATGTGGCGGTTTTAATGCCACAGTCATTTTCTTCCAGTCAAACCTTTGGGTGTTACAGAGCTGTGTGTTGCAGGTGTATATTTGAAACTAGTGAGGTGTGACTAAATTAATGAATGCTTCAAGACAAATAAATACCACAAATTTATATTAGGTATACATACATTATATCTTTTATTGTATACATTCTATATTCCGTAAATGTCCGTGTGGTGACGGATTAAGAATACAGAGTGTCACCACCCCTATTCATCCCGTGGGTGTCGTGAGAGCCGACTAAGGGAGCAAACTACGCAGAACAACAGCACTGTAGAGAGCAGGAAAACTTGACACAAACCCTTTACCAACCCGTCTGGCCAGCGTGGTATAGTAGGCCAAAACTTCCTTTCTAAGGAGAGGCTATTAAAGGCTGTTGATGATGATGATGTTGATTCTATATTATTGTTTAATATCAAAATATATTCATATGTAAATCTTTACAAAGTATAAAATAAAATCGCTTTTTAATGTTTTACGCTTAAATCTTAAACTAAGCAACGGATTTTAATGGGTTTTCACAGGTAAACGGTTTTCACCAATAGAGAGTGATTCAAGAGAAATATTCATATTTATAATACATAAATATAGTAGAGGAAATCTGAGAATTTCAAAGATTTGTTGTAACTTTGATTGATGCACGGATGGCCTAGTGGTTTAAGCGGTCGGCACGCTTGTTGTGGGTTCGATTCCTATGTGACGACACTTTGTGTTATCCACAATTGTTGTTCTGAGTCTGGGTATTCTTTGTGTCTGTTTCATGTAGGTATGCAAAGTCCTCCGCGACACAGGACGTATTCCTAGTGCGTGAGTTGTCTATTTTTTTAAAGAAAAAAAATAACATGGCTAATCCGTACGAGTGGAGTGGAATGGATTTACTGTATTTCCAACTCCTCCAATTTTCTTCTGATTAATTTCGTTGCGGGTTCCAAGACAGTTTAATTTCTTCCTGGAAGTTCCCGAGTGTCATAATTTGGTGTGTTCGTGGGTCACTGCTGTGGATCTTGGTGTACAGGAGTTACAGTGGTGGGTGTGTGGGTGGGATTAGTCTAATACGTACGAGATAAACCAAAAAATGTACTACAGAATTGTACATCTTAAAAAATCTACACCAACGTCCGTAGTGGTAATAAGTCAACCTCATAAGGATAACCCACAGTAACCATTTTTATCTTTTAAATATTACAAAAAAAAAAATAGGTTATTTACGAAGCTATTTTAAGCAATACATTATTATTCCTAATTAAATACGTTAGATACGTTGTGAAGTTAATGTATATTAAAATTGTTCTTTACAGCATGTCATAAAAATGAATGTTTTAGAAGGTATTAGAGTACGTCGGTCGCGGGTGGCGTCCCCCGGCAGGATCGGAGAGTGCCTATAAATTAATTAGTAGAAGTAAATAATAAAGACACTCTTAAACTGTTATTCTGATGACTCCGTCAACCAGTCTCTATATAGCTTGCCTACTTGAATAAAAGTGAATCGGTTAGTGGACATCCTGATTTCTATTGGGACTACGTTTCAGAGATTGACAGCTCAGACATCAAAGTAAGAATGAACAATACTGGAAATATGAAATGAAATCTTTATGGGCCCCACCCAAGTCATTTGCTGTGTGTAAAAAAAAATGGCAGAAAAACTGTACGATTTATTCTAAATTCAACTTAAAAGTAATCGTAACTAAAAATTTACACTGAAGATATACACAATTGAATCTAAATTCAGGATAAAAAACCGGCCAAGTGCGAGTCGGGCTCGCGCACGAAGGGTTCCGTACCATTATCTATAAAAACGGCTAAAAAATCATGTCTGTTGTATGGGAGCCCCATTTAAATATTTATTTTACTTTGTTTTTAGTATTTTTTGTTATAGGCAGGCGGCACGGCAACAGAAATAGATCTGTGAAAATTTCAACTATCTAACTATCACGGTTCATTAGATACAGCCTGGTGACAGACGGACAGACAGACAGACGGACGGACAGCGGACTCTTAATAGGGTTCCGTTTTACCGTTTAGGTACGGCACCCTAAAAAACGAGCTAGCTAGCTGATTAGCTCGTTTTTAGGGTGCTCTATTTAGGGTACTCTATTCGACTAGACGACAATAGTCGCATTATGATGTATAACATGTGATATTTTACCCACCACCTGACGGCCAACTCCAGCACCGTGTACGATCATTCGTCACATCAAATAGCGCGCTTTCTGTTGCTGTTACATATTTCCGTCCCTTTTTACGAAATCAATCCAATAGATAATCTTCTTTTTTTCATTTTCTTTTTTTTTCTAATTATAGCTTTGAAAACAGATAATTCTAAAATAATAAGTTGTAAATAGAAATTTCCTTACTTACGTACCCAGTCATTTATTGTACTTCTGAAGAGTGTGTGTTGAGAAAGTGATTAATTAAAGGTGTACAGCAAACAGTAATAAAATTAAATGGCTTTTTAAGTATAATTGACATCAGTGACGTCACTGAACGATGGGAACTACCACGTTTCAAATAATAGCAAACTTTTTATCACCAAAATTTATGCCTTTACATGCAACTAAACAAAAAATTAGAACGGTCTATGACCAGCAAAAGTCCGCTATAGGCTAATTGATTAAAGGAACTAAAAGTTTTTGGTTAACTAACAATTTACGGTTGTACTCATAAGTATGTTTCTGAGCAATCCACCAAATTTTGTATCTGATAAGTGCTCTTTATCAAAGAGTTGAGCCACCGTCGGATCGTTATCAGGCTCAACAATTTTGTATTTTTTTTCCCCGCACTGTTGTATGTATCCTGTTTTGTGGAGGACTTTACCCAGACTCATAACAACAATTTGTCCGTCTCAACCTCCCTATCTAGACTCAGTAATTGTCACCGACTAAATTTCTAAAATTTGTTACCGTCTTCTTGTTTCAAAACTCCCACCAACCACAGTTCACGGTTTACTTTCTGAGTTTATTTATTAGCTTATCTTAAAAATAATTTAGTTACTAAATATAAATATTAATGAACATATATCAGAAATCTGTTCTTAGAATACATATACATAAATTTTAAAATATTTGAATCAATTTCGCATTCAGCTAGTAAAATAAACGGCATAATAAATTTATTTCGCACACATTATTTTAAATTTTCGTATTAAAATATGCATTCAGATTAAGTAACATTGTAAGTTACTTGTAAGAAACAACAATAACAGAATAAGCAAATTATTAGGTATTTAATTTCAGTAAAATAAATCTTGAATTTGAAATAAATGATAATTTTATTCAACTGCTTCGTCGGGACAAGATCACTATGAATATAATAATATAAACAAACAAAGCTGTTTTATAAATATACATTTTAATCATGCTTACAATCTCAAGTATAAGTTCAAGTCGAAAATAACAATAGATCACCTTTTGCTCGCCAATTTATTCTTTAAGTCTTTCAGTACTTCGTGGGCTAAAAATTCTGTGAGGGGCTACAAGTGAAGACCTCACGTCTTATTAGAATCATGTAGTACTTAAATGTTATATTAATTTTTATGTAAAGACATTAATCTTTTAACAAATATATGTAAATCTGTAGCGAGGGGAAGAGAGGCTCATGAAATCGCACTAAATCTCCAATAGGGGTTAAAATTGAAAGAAAAAGTTTACGTAACTAACGGATGCTCCCTGTAGCCTGTAGCTGATTACTTATCAAACAAATTTTGCCACTTTCTTTCAAAAAATATAATTAATGAAATTTGAAAAAAGTCAAAGTTACAACCATTTTCAACTTTTCGCGATCCAAGAAATACGATTACATTATTAGGAATTAATGCTATAGTTTGTGTATGAACATGTAATGTAATCGTTTAAAAATAGATTTGGTCAATATAACCGAAAATTAATGAACTCTTTTAATGGACTCGCATGGATTAGGTGCGCATGGGGGTGGAGGCGGAGGGGGACAGGGTGGAGGTATAGGTGGTTCCTTCGGGGGGCAAGGCTTTGGTGGTCGTACCACGTCGGGCACGCATTCGTAATAGCAGTGAGCATCAAACCAATACGGCGGTCCTGGAGTAGGGATGGTAGGGAAGACTAGTTCCTGAAAAAGAAACATATTTATACTTTATAAATTCTGTAGTAAAAATTGACGCAGATGCGCCGGCGCTCGCGTCATTTGACTCTTGGCCCGAGCGTCAATCGAATGCAGCTGATCAGTGATATTAATTTTTGTAACATAGCGCCGTATTATTTTAGTAATGTATTTCTTATTTAGTTTTTATTTATTATCTATTTATATATTATTATTTTTAAATATTTAATTTACTCGTATATATTATAAAGTTTAATTTAGTTTTACTAACATAATAGAACGTGAATAATACTAGTAAGTCGTTGTGAAGACATTTTTTTGGTCGGGTTGCTTTTTTTTTATTAATTATTAAACCTATCACCAAAACAACACTTGTATGGGCCAGCAGAGAAGACTATACAGTAGCTGACGCCGTATTTTTTTTTTACCAAAATGGAAAATGCACAATGCGTATATTTTTTGTGTCAAATTATTTTTAACAAAATGGTGGCAGCCCTACAAAAGAAACTACGTGTGTGCGTACAAGGAGAAGACCAAAAACACAAACCCTACACCAACCCACCTTGCCCGTCTTTCCAATACTTATGGCCTTTGATTTACATGAGTGCTAACACTCATGTAAGTCAAGAGTAGTACGATGGAGAAATGCAGAACTTACACTGTCCGTACGTGGTTTGGCAGGCTGCTGTGTGCCACTCAGCTTTCTTGAATCTTCTAATCCTAAAGCAATGGGCCCAACAACCGGAGGTTTTACAGAATCTAAGGCATGTCTTGTATAGTAATATATTCCTGAATATCTGTCTACCGAAGTTCGTGGTATATCTGGTGGAGGGAGGGTTCTAGGCGCCAGGAGAGGGTTAAACCGATTGTGTAGTTGATGGGGCACTTTGATTCCTAGCAAAAAATCACGTAATGTTCTCAGAACTCCGCAAACATCTCGAAATTTCATTTTTGTTTTGGGATCGCTATAAAAATTTGACAAAACTTCAAAACATCAAGTTCAATTTTAAATGAAATAGCTCCATTGTTGACAGGAGGCTTTGAAACGTGAAAAAAAGTTTTCATAAATAAAGTAGGTCGTATAGCTAAAGCGGGTTTCTAAAATACATTATGATACATTATTTGTTTAGGTCGCGCCGCGCCGCTTTAGACTTAAAGGATTATAACTTAAGTCTATTTTAGAATATTAATATTTATTAATATTAATATTTATTTATATTCGTTTAATATTTCTATGTATAATAAGTATGTATTTACAAAAAAAGTAAATATTTATTTATATCAGTTGTCTAGTAGCCATAGTACAAGCTCTGATTAGTTTGGGACTAGATGGCGTTGTGTGAATGTGATAGAATATTATTATTATTCAATCACATGTTTATAGCTAAAGCTCATGGTTAAAGTCAAGCAATCCTGGCCAGGTCAGTCTATGAACGGGTGACCATTCTCAACTCATTGAGCCAACCAACCAACGATTACCAACATCTGTGGTAATCGTTACGGTTAGTTGGAGCCGGAGGAAAAGTCTTACGGGTTATGATCAAATATAGTACAATTTTTTTGTTATAAAATAGGGGGGCAAACGAGGAAATAAGTTGCCTGATAGCAAGTGACTACCGCTACCCGTTGATACCTACCGCCCAATATAATAATATAATATAATAATATATTTCACACATCTTACACACGGCCTGGTTCCCACACTACTGATAAACATACTTATATATTTCTAAATACATACAAATAATAGATAAAGTACACCCAGACTCAGAACAAATGATCATACTCATCACAAATTTATTTTTCCTGGGTGGGAATCGAAGCCACGACGGCTGGCTTAACAGTCAGATTCACTAACCGCTAGGCCAACAGGCCAGTCTTGGTATATCCAAGGTATATAGTAGATACCTATTACTAAAAAGCTTCGGTCTCGTTAATGTTGACATTTTCAATAAATTTTTCCTTCATAAAAAGTAGCCTGTGTTCTAGATTATTATTCATTTTGTACCAAACTTCATGTCGGACTACGAGTAACAGCGACTGTTCAAACCCTATGACACCTTGAGTATCCGGATATCCGAATAGACGGATACTCAAGGCGTTCGGTTTTTTACATTTTATCGACTCTCACACCCAAATAGATATCACAAGTTTTTTGTTACGAACTGCCTACACTTGATGAACGGTTTAAAAACAACGTCAGACGAAATAGACAGTTCTCTTATTGGCCAATTCTAGTTAAGTAAATCCATATTATGTCTCTCTCTCTTCAGGGCTATCATCAAATAATAACCTCAATATGTCACGGTCATCAACCCTCACCACACTCTAATCAACACTACCTATAATTAAACCCATCCCACACGAACAATTAACAGTACCATAAAACGAAGCCTTCTAGACATAATGCACTTGCGCTTTTACAGTTTACATAATATATAATGTGAAGGTTGGATACTTTCTTTGGCGGGGAGGCTTTACTCGGCGGCGAAGCCTCCAGTTGTAAGAGTCGCGCGGCGTAACGCGCATGTGCAGTGTCTGTTACTCTACTATATAATTTATAAAGTGTTGTGTTTGGATAAAATGAGGCTTTTATATTGGGTAAGTTTAAAAGATGTGTGAATGTTTTTTTTTTAAACAAGGCGTTTTTTTCGTGGTTAAATAAAAAAATGAGCAATTTAAAAATAAATCTTAAATATTTTTAATAAGTGTGTTATAAGATATGAAATTATAAAAGTTTTCAAAAAAGGTTGGTTCATATATCAAGGACAGTAATTGTTGATAATATTGTATGAACTTCCAATTCATCCATAACATTTTCATATGAAAATATTCATTAGATGCAGCATAATGAGTTATGAATATTGTATTATGTCTTAAACCAAATATTATAAAAGCTATGACAAGGTAGAAACATTCTTCTAAAGAATTGGAAGGTAAAAGTTAAACCGTACAAGTCGATTAAACTTTATAAGTAGCACAAATGTTATTTAAAATAAAAAAGAACAAAAAAAGCTTTTCCGAATTATTAGGATCTCTTTGGATTATTTAAAATATACACATATATGCAACTGACTACTTACAATCATATGACAAGTTTCCACATTAAAAAAATGATAATATAGATTACAAAAAAAGATACAATCATAACATTAAAAAACAAATCCACATTCATAAACGCACATCACTTTTTTTTTTATTTTTGATATTAGAATAATTTTCACCAACCAATGACTCAAATTTTTGAACTAAAAAATAACTACAGATGTATCTAAATACTCATGTTACCCAACAAAAAGACATCCTAAGGTGTTACGTAAAAAATACAAATATGTCCGACTAAGTGGGTCAAATTGACCGACGGATTCGCGAACAGAACTTCAACAGTTAAAGACATCGACGCGCCTCTCGCTCTGCACCGATCATGTTTTCACCCATTTACTTATCTCTACGGATATATTATACAACTTGTTACAATGTCTACTCTCTATATTTATTTTGTTATTCAGAGAGAGTTAGCCATGGTTTTGTCTCTTTACAGCTTTGTTGCAATATGTCAACTGACGAAAATGTAACTTCGAACTATTAAGAAGCAGAAACTGATGGTTTAAACCTGGCATGTTTCTTTTGGTATTGTTAGTTTTCTTAAAAACTCCGGCAAGGATGAAGAAATGAGCGCGAACTTTTAAGTTTAATTCTCAGATTAGACAAATTATTATTGAACTTTTCAGTTGAGAAATTGTCAGGTCTGGAGCGTATTCTGTAGTTGAAAATAGGACTGCCTAAAAGCGCATAGAATAACTTTGGTTGTTTTATGTATTCAGAACATTTTTTTACGATTTGTAGTAATGTATTCAGCAAATCAGTTTAGAGATAACTTTCAATGTAGCTTTATAACTAAAAATGAGAAAAAAAAAACACCATTTACGAATAGAAAAGATAACATTTTACAAGAATACAAATCACAAAAGTTCAAAATCTCGATCATATTTCCTAAATCAATTTAATCTCCCCAATCACAGATTTGGTTGATTTTAATTGAAATAACTAAAAAGAGATCGTAATATTCTAGGACTATTAACCTCTGAATAGTAATAAAAGACAGATGCTTCGATAATTACTTCATACTTCCGCAACATTTACGTAACAGTCAAAAACACAAAGCTACATTTTGCATTAATGTAATCACTTTAACTGAACTTTACTATTTCGTAACAAATTTGGAGTACATTATGTGATATTTTGTTTATTGCACGTGACCGGTTTCACGTTGTTTTATGTTACGGTTTACAACTTTTAGTAACAGAATGTATGTATATAAAAACAACTTGAACATTTAAAGTATCCATATTATATATAAATATTTGTAAGAATTTAATATCAACTTGTGAAAAAATAGTGAAATATAGGGCCATTTTGCAGCTAATGAAAGGACAAAATTTCACGAATCGCTCTTCTTATTATCTTTCCCAAAGCTTCGTTAGGTTTTCCCCATATTGAAATATCATAAATGCCGTGAAATTTTATTGCAATTATTGACCTGCTGATTAGAAAGCGTAAATTATCATATTAGTAAGGCGTTTATATTTGTAAAATGATAATAAATAAAATTAATTGTTTTCACTTACATCACACGCAGTTTAATGAACCTGGGAATCAATGCCAGACATTGATGAGAACATAAAAATATAAATAACAAGTGAAAGTGAAATAAAAATATCACACGAAACTTGCGAAATTTACTCCAAGATTAGATCGTGTGTAAGTTCACGGTAATTACTGTAAAATAGCAAGGTTATGCCAAGTATGTACAACATTCGAATTAAAAAGGTTTTTTTTAGTTTTTTCTTATCTTCTAATAAAATAGCCTTGACGTTGCGTTGATGATGTGAGCAGCACAATTAAGAAACTTATGTTTTTTCTATTCTAATTTCTTAGCTAAAGCAACGTTTTTTATAACTTGTATAATCGATTTATGAATTTACATTTATGTTTTTTTTTATTTAAGGCTGTATCTGACAGGGTTTCAGTGATTTCACTTATTTCTTTTCTATTTTAAAAAGACAACTCCCGCATTGGGAATATATCCTGTGCCGGGTGGGACCGTTTCATGAATGTTTGTAAAGTCCCCCGCGACACAGGGTATATTCCTAGTGCAGGAGGATATTTTATATTATCAATAATTTTAACATTACCTGTGATATGTATTTAGTAAATAGTTTCCTGGAATCTTTACATAGGACGTGACCTTTGACTGGCCTGTTGGTCGAGTAGTAAGTGACCCTGACTGCTGCCCTAGCAATAGACTTACATGTTGCGGAACATCCAGCGCTTTCTCAAATACCACTTCACCGTGAGCCCCGGTGAGGTGACCACCTGTGGGGTTTCCACATGGAAAAAAAATCAGCCTGTTTGACAAGGTATGGGCTCTTCCTAGCTTGATGTATCAAGTTACAATTATCATGATTTTTATGATAACTAATAGTTTCGTAACTATAAATCTTAGAAAGTGGAAATCATAATTATGCATGTGTATTGCGTTTGAAATGGCCAAACAATTATTCCATAACTTCTATAAAAATATGAGACGTTAATTTTAATTGTTAATCGATAAATTACTGTAATAATAATAACGTAAGTTATTAAAGCTATTCAATGGAACAGAATAAGGTATTAAAATAAAATATACAGCAAACATTCGCTCTCGTAAGAGTGTTATGATTCAAATGAACATAATTATAATTATATGGTATTATGATTTTTGAAATCTTTAATGTTTTCCTTGCCAATAAATTGCAAAGAGCCTCATTCCTGACACTGTTTAAGTTTACGCTTACATTCGATCTTGTGGTTCTACAATCGATGCGGAGTTTAAAGAAAGAAGTCAAAAAATGCGTCCATTAATAGCAAAGGAGTCGTTCCTTATAATGTTTAACTAAAAGATATGGC